CACTTAAGTTACTGGTCTTATTATTTCTTTATTATAAGAACTATAATATAAATTTATAATTACTAAGCTTATAATATAGTAATATAAGATATTAATAACTTTAAAATTTTAAATTTATATTTAATTAATATTAAATATTAAATTAAATGAGTTACTTACTTAAATTATAATTTTATTAAATATTTATAAAAGTACCTTAATACTATATTAATCTGTAGGATTAATGTTATTTCAACGGGCTCGGACATTTATATCTTCCTGCCCGTGTCTAACTCCACCGACACAATTGTCCGCCACTTATACAGCCAGGAGGAGATCAATGAAAGGTTAATGGTTATATGCTCATAACTAGACCAGGTTTGGCGACTTTTGCATACACTACGGTGAACGAAAATTGATTTTGACGAGTAACCCTACCAATCCACAATCTTTGTCAAACTTGATGAGCGAAATGGAAGAGAATCGTGCCCCGGAGCCAATCGCAATCATCGGTCTTACCTGCAAATTTGCCGGCGAAGCCACAAATGCCGATAGTTTATGGCAAATGATTGCTAACGGACGAGATGCTTGGTCTCAGATCCCACTCTCCAGATTCAACTGGGCTGGTTCGTTCCATCCTGACCACGAGAAATCCAGCACTGTACGTGTATCCTCTCCTTCTTGCCGTAGCTCCAGACCAGAACAGTTGAACTTAATTACTTTAGATGCATGTGCGTGCTGGATACTTCATCAAGGAGGACCTTGGCAACTTCGACGCCGCCTTCTTCAACCTCTCTGCCGAAACTGCAGCCGTAAGCAATACCGGAAAGGAGCTGGATATGAGCATGGACTGATGGCGTGTGATTCTAGTCTATGGACCCTCAATTTCGGCTTCAGTTAGAGTCTGTATATGAAGCCCTTGAGAATGGTGAGATGCACTTCTTTGGTCCGCAAACAACCAGTCTGACACGTCTCAAGCTGGGCAACCCATCGAGAAGATAGCAGGCTCGGACACGTCTGTGTATATGGGAACGTTTAATCATGACTACAGGGAAGGTATGATACGGGATGAAGATGACTTGCCACGTTTCATGATCACTGGCACAGGCGCCGCCATGGCCTCGAACCGCGTCTCGCATTTCTTTGATCTGAGAGGGGCTAGCATGACGTTAGACACGGGTTGCTCGACGTCTCTAGTGGCACTGCATCAAGCTGTCAGTGACTTGCGATCTGGCAACTCGACCATGGCCATCGTTGGAAGTTCCAATCTGATGCTTAACCCAGACATGTTCAAGGCTCTCGGGTCTATAGGGTATGTTACAGTCTTGCTTGGAACAACCGTTTACTGACTGACCACAGTGTTCTTTCTCCTGACGGGAAGTCCTTTTCGTTCGACTCCAGAGCGAACGGTTACGGGCGAGGAGAGGGTGTGGCGACCGTCGTCATCAAGCGCTGGAGAGATGCCGTGGCTGCCGGAGACCCTATCCGGGCAGTGATACGTGAGACTTGCCTGAACCAAGATGGCAAGACAGAAACTATCACTTCTCCAAGCTTTAACGCACAAGAACAATTGATTCGCAAGAGCTACCAAAACGCGCAGCTTGACCCACTCGAAACACAATACTTCGAGGCGCATGGCACAGGTACCCCAACAGGAGATCCTATTGAGCTTCAGGCAGCTGCAGCAGTCTTCCAATCGCGTCAGAGTGCAGCAGAGCCTTTACATATCGGCTCGATCAAGGCCAACATCGGACATACGGAGCCAGTCAGTGGCCTCGCCAGTCTCATCAAAGTGGTTATGGCGCTCGAGCATGGGGCACTTCCACCGTCAATTAACTTTGAGAAACCGAACGCAAAGGTTGACTTGAAGGAGTGGAATTTCGAGGTGCCACAGAGGCTGGAGCCATGGATTCCGAATTCTGACGGTATAAGGCGTGCATCTATCAACAACTTTGGCTATGGTGGCACAAATGCCCACGTCATCGTTGAGATGGGACCTCGATGGATAACTGATTCCGGCATTCATGAGACCAACGGAATCAGTCATATCAACGGACATGCCAACGGTACCGAGTCAACATCAGGCTCCAACACGAAGCCGCCTGGTGAAGGGAGCAACAAAAATCCCTCACGGAACAAAACCAAGGTCCTTCTTCTCAGTGCAAGAGATGAACGAGCGTGCCAGGACATGATCTCCAACTTGGCAGACTATCTCCGACGTCGAAATGACCATGAGAAACCTGATCAACTCCTCCAGAGTATGATATACACTCTGGGCCACCGTCGCAGCATGATGCCTTGGGTTGCAGCATGTCCCATTTCCTACATGCGTGGTATCTCTACGGTCGTCGAGGCTCTAGAATCCTCTCAGTTTAAGCCCAAGAGAATCGTGCGAGTTCCACGCATTGGCATGGTGTTTACAGGACAAGGAGCTCAGTGGCACGCAATGGGGAGAGAGCTGATTATCGCCTATCCCGTGTTCAGATCCTCCCTCGAGCTTGGAGATGCATACCTCAGAGAGCTTGGTGCAGACTGGTCATTGATGGAGGAGCTCATGAGGGATGCTGCTGATACAAAAGTTTATGATACCGCTATCAGCATTCCCATTTGCGCCGCACTGCAGATATCCCTAGTCAACCTACTCCAGAGCTGGGGTATCAAGCCAGCAGCGGTGACAAGTCACTCAAGTGGAGAGATCGCAGCTGCATATGCCGCCGGTGTTGTCGACTACCGAGCATCCATGGCCATCGCTCATTACCGAAGTGTTTTGTCGGCCGATAAAGCTCTGAGAGGTTCTCTAAAGGGAGGCATGGTTGCGATCGGAGCGGGGTCTGACCATGCCGCGACCTACCTCCAAGAGCTGCAAAGCGATGGAAAGGCAACTATCGCTTGTATCAACAGCCCCAAGAGTGTGACCATTGCAGGAGACCTTTCCTCCGTCCTGGAAGTTGAGACCAGGGCTAAGAGTGATGGTGTATTAGCAAGCCGTCTCAATGTCGACATTGGTTACCATTCGCATCAAATGGAGCCCATCTCCCACAAATACCGAGACGCCTTGAGTCGGGTAAAGCTATGCAACTCTCAGAGTAACCTTGAGTCCATCGCCTATGCTTCGCCAGTCACTGGCGGCCGCATGACCGACCCTGAAGAAATTGCCAGTGCCGAGCATTGGGTGGCAAGCTTGGTTCAGCCTGTCCAGTTCCTGGATGCCTTCACTGACATGATTCTGGGTAGCTTCGACCCATCTGGCACTAGTGTTGATATTATAGTCGAGGTTGGACCCCACTCAGCCTTGAGAGGCCCTATCAGACAAATCCTTGAGCTTCCTGAGTTTGGGGGTCTTCAGATCCCCTACTACCCTTGTTTGATCCGCAAGAATGATGCTAGAGATACCATGCAGGCACTGGCGGCAAACCTGATTGGCGAGGGCCTGGAACTACAATTAGCCTCTCTCAACTTCCCATATGGAAGAGAGAGCTTTGTCGAGGTGCTGACAGACCTTCCCCCCTATCCATGGAACCACCAAACAAGGCATTGGGCTGAGCCACGCTTTAATAGAGCGCTTCGAGAAAGAGATCAGGAACCGCATAACCTTATCGGCTCCCTCGTTCTAGGGTCAGAGCGAGAGTCTCCTTCGTGGCGCCATGTCCTTCGTGTGTCCGAGTCGCCTTGGCTTCGTGATCACGTGGTCCAGTCTAATGTTCTTTATCCCGGGGCAGGCTTTGTCTGCCTGGCTGTCGCAGCTATGGCACAGATGGTATCTATGCAGGTGATCAAGTCTGTGGATAAACTTGGGAAGGATCGGCGAGTCTCTGGTTATAGGCTGCGAGACGTTGAGATCCTTCGAGCCCTGCTCGTGCCAGACATGCAGCCGCTGGAGCTTCAGACCAAACTGTCTCCTGCGTCTGATAGAGAGATTGGCCTCCGGGGATGGTATCATTTTGAGGTCCTTTCTGTCACCGGCGAGAACAGATGGAATCTACATGCCAAGGGGTCTATCAAGGTCGAGTTTGCCGATGATGCGAGGCCGGGAGTAGACAGACTGGAAGGGATATCCCCTTTGATCCCTAGCACAGCACGCCGAATCGCGCCCGATGATGTCTTTGCCACTTTCAGATCAGTCGGTATCGAGCATGGACCAGCATTCCAAAACTTCAAGGCCATCCTCCAGTGCCAAAATGAACCACGATCCAAGGCCACAATAGTCGTTGCCGACACCTCTGCCGGCAACACTATAATACACCCGACTACTCTCGATTCCATTGTTCAAGCGGCATACACCGCTCTTCCCAAGGCTGGGTATTTCCAGGAGAGCCCGCGCGTGCCTCGCAAATTTAGGCACATTTGGATATCGAGTGATATTGGCTTTGAGGCAGGGCACGAATTCGAAGCTTGCTCAAGAGTAAACGATGCCGACTCTCAAAGCTTTGAAGCAGATATTCGCCTTTTCGATGCCCAAAAAGATCCGCATGGCTCGCAAACTCCTGTACTAGAGATACAAGGGCTGTTTCTCCAGTCCCTTGGTCAAGCCGTCGGTATCACAAATAAACGGCCATGGGAGAACGAAGTCTGTAACAGTGTTGAGTGGGATATTGACATGACAGTCGCTAATCCCAAGACACTCGACAAGATTCAAAAGGAGCTTACACATTCGGATCCTGGGGAGAGCCTCACGAAAGAGCTACGGCCCATTTGTCTTTACTATATCCATGAAGCACTCATTGAGCTCTGACCCTCTGATGTTTTGAGTCTTAATGGACACTTGGCTAAGTTCTATAGTTGGATGAAGGATCAGGTCGAGCTGGGTCCATGTGAATCTGAATCCGGCAACACAGAGGAGACCCTTGACCTAAGAACCCTGAGCGATGGGATGCAACTTGTCCTGATCAGCCAAGCTATCACGAAGAGTGTGGCAGGCGAGATGATATGTCGTCTCGGCCCGCATCTTGCGAACATTCTGCGAGGGAAGATCACGCCTCTGGAACTGATGGCTCAAAACAATCTCCTCTCGAGGTACTACGAGGAATTACCTGGACTCAAACGCTGTTTCAGCCAACTATCTGAGCTGCTCCGCAAGATCGTTCACAAGAACCCCAGAGCTCGAATCCTTGAGATAGGAGCTGGTACAGGCAGTGTCACCCGCCATGCTCTCGAGGTACTCGGAAGCCGAGATTCTAGAGGTCCACTAGCCGAGCTGTACCACTATACGGATATCTCCATGGGTTTCTTCGAGGCTGCTAGAGAGGAGTTCTCGGGGTGGAGCGATATCCTAGCATTCGACAAACTAGACATTGAGCAGGACCCTGCAGAACAAGGTTTCAAGCTTGGTTCTTACGATGTCGTGATCGCATGCCAAGTTCTTCATGCAACAAAGTCCATCTCTCATACAATGGCTCATGTCCGAAGCCTCATGAAGCCCAGCAGCTCGCTGTTGCTTATTGAGACAACGCAAGACCAGATTGACATTCAGTTCATCTTTGGTCTACTGCCCGGATGGTGGCTTAGCCAAGAGCCTACACGTCAGAATAGCCCCTCCCTCAGTATCCCGTCCTGGGATAGTGCACTAAGGACTGCGGGCTTCACCGGGGTTGACATGGTCGTGAACGAAAGCGAAGACGCTCATGAGTATGCATTTAGCACTATAATGTCTCATGCGAAAGCGGACGGAGAAAGCTGGGTTGGGATTCGGACAGAGGACATTGTTCTAGTTACGACTTCAAAATCAGTTCCTCCACGAGATTGGATATCATCTCTGGCAAGGTCCATCGGAGGAAAAGATGACTGCCTTGCTGTGCAGCTCCTCGACGCCGCGGATGCCGCTGATTCTACCTACAGAGGCAAGATATGTGTGTTTTTGGCCGAGGTGGAGGACAACGTACTCTTTGACCTCAATCCGACCTTGCTAGAGGGGCTGAAACTCGTAGTAGCCAACTGTCATGGTCTTCTCTGGGTAACAATAGGGGGAGCCATCAACTGTGAGGTTCCTTGCTCAGCATTGGCTGCAGGCTTCGTGCGTTCTCTACGCAATGAGTATGTTGGTCGAAAATTCATGACTTTGGACTTGGATCCATCTCCAACAGCATGGTCATCTGCTGCCTCTGACGCCATCTCGCGTGTTCTCGGGCATTACTTCAGATACACGGATGATAGCAACATGTTTGACGGCTCCGAAATGGACTTTGAGTTCGCTGAACGAGACGGGGCCATCATGGTCCCGCGGTATTATAAGGACACAGCTCGAAATAACCTCGTTATGCCACAGCAAAGCCATCAGTCACCTGACAATGCTGTCACTGAGCTTTTCCATCAGGAGCATCCTGTTCGCCTCCACGTTGGCACCCGAGGTCTCCTGGACACATTGACATTCGTTCATGATGAAGGGGTCATGACTGTCGATGAAAGTCAGATGTTGGAGAGCTTTGTCGAGATTGAGGTTCGCGCCTACGGGCTGAACTTCCGAGATGTTATGGTCGCCATGGGCCAGCTGGAAGACAAGATCATGGGTATCGAGTGTGCCGGCGTCATAACCAAGGTCGGCGCTGTGGCTGCTCTCCATGGGCGCTTTGTAGGCGAAAGTGTTTTTGCCCTTCTCCGTGGGCCTTTTGCAAGTCGCGTACGAACAGAACATTGGAACGCCGTTTCTATGCCTGAGGGCACGACCTTTGAAGAAGCAGCATCTATGCCTATGGTGTTCACCACGGCGTACGTTGCTTTGTTCGACGTTGCTCATATCCAGCGAGGTCAATCTGTTCTGATCCACGCTGCGGCGGGAGGCGTTGGTCAAGCTGCTATCCAGCTGTCGCAGCATCTCGGAGCCGATATCTACGTCACCGTAGGCTCCCCAAAGAAGAAGCAGCTGATCCAGCAAAGGTATGGAATTCCAGATCACCACATCTTCAACAGCCGCGATTCGTCCTTTGCCTCGGGGATCCGTGAGGCAACCGGGGGTCGTGGTGTTGATCTGGTTCTGAACTCTCTGGCGGGTCCTTTGTTGCAAGAAAGCTTTGGCCTTGTAGCTCCCTTTGGACACTTTGTCGAGATAGGGAGACGAGACCTTGAGCAAAACAGTTTCTTGGAGATGCGCCCTTTTATTCGACATATATCTTTCTCTTCGCTGGATGTACTTCACATGACAAGGGGGAAAGGACCTGACGTCCGTCGAATTCTCACCGAGATTGCACGCCTGAAGCAGCGCAACGTCATCGCGCCTGTTGACCCCTTGACCAGTTACCCAGTCTCGGACATTACCAAAGCATTCCGTCTCATGCAGACAGGTCAACATAGAGGCAAGATTGTGGTATCTACGGGTCCCTTGCAGAAGGTTGAAATACAGCCCTACCCCAAGGATATCAAGCTGTCACCAAATGCCTCGTACCTGTTGGTTGGTGGCTTGGGGGGCATCGGGCGGTGTTTGGCAAGCTGGCTTGTCAATCTTGGGGCCAAGCAGATCATTCTCATGTCACGCAGCGCTGGGACAAAAGAAGATGATGCAGTATTTATACGCGACCTGGCCGAGACAGGATGCAGAATTGAATGCATTGGCTGCGATGTCTCCAAGAGCCATGATCTTGACAGGGCGCTGCAGCTGTGCACAGTCAAGGGTCTTCCACCTATTCGAGGTGTTATCCACGCAGCCATGGTGCTTCAGGTAGGTGTCAATCTCAACACTTGCTCGTCACTACTAATATTCCTCAGGACTCTATTCTCGAACAAATGACAGTCGAGAATTTCAAGGCTGCTATTGCGCCAAAGGTACATGGGTCCTGGAATCTTCATTCCAAATTCCGGGACGTTGACTTCTTCATCATGTTATCGTCAATCAATGGCATCGTCGGCTACGCCAGCCAGTCCAACTACTCAGCCGGAGGATCATATCAAGATGCGCTGGCGCACTGGCGCGTTGCAACTGGTCTCCCTGCCGTCTCCCTGGACCTCTGCGCCGTAAAGACAGTGGGCTACGTGGCTGAGACGGAGGGCGTGGCCTTCCGCATGCAGAGAGCAGGCCACATGCTCCTGAGAGAGGACCAACTCCTCGGGTTGTTGGAGTCTGCCGTGCTGCACCCGTTTACTCCTCAGATCGTCGCGGGGCTCAATACAGGGCCTGGTCCCCACTGGAATCGTGATGGGGAGTCACAGCTCGGCCGCGATGCACGATTCAGCGCCCTGCAATATCGACAGCCGCGAGAACAGCGAGCAAGAGAAGGTGACATGACTCATAAACACTCTCTTGCTGCCAGTCTGGCCGAGGCAACTTCCCGGGCTGATGCCGAAGCTATTGTCTTTGAGGCAATCGCACAGAAGTTGAGTTCCATCTTCGTCATAGCTGCTACAGAGGTCGAGCCAAGTAAAAACCCATCTCATTATGGTGTCGACTCGCTGGTGGCAGTGGAATTGCGAAATATGATCTCGCTCCAGGCAGCAGCTGATGTTTCCATCTTTAGCATTTTGCAGAGTCAGTCGCTGGGGGCTTTAGCCAGCGAGATTGTGGATAAGAGTAGATATACCGAGGTCATGTAAGTGGCATATATTATCGGTGTCGAATATAACAACCGTTGTTGCTTATTAAAAAGTCAAGATATCTCTGTGAAGCAATGCATGAAATGAAGTCTAGACTCCCAAATTACATACAACCCGACCAATTGGTTTCCTTTTCTGTTAACTGTCTCGCAAGCATGACTCGATTGGGAATAGGCCTGGCACCGTCAAAGATATGCTAATGATTGCGCTTTGGGACTTATGGTTGAAAGCATAAATCAACAGGTAGAAGTCAAAGCTTAATTTAGCACTGAACATACAGTAGCTCGGTCATATCCCGCCAATAGACATACAGAGTAGTAGTCGGGGTATTCTCCCATGGGACAACCCCATGTGCCGCCTGCCGATTACAAATCTGTATATATATAGTATCTTTTTCTATCCCTTGAAAGGCAATAAGGTAGCTTGGGCATACCGATAAGATAAAAAGATACCTGTATCCAATTGAATCACATAAAACCCATTTGGTGATCAAGACGGTGTAGGCGAAGGCCACCGGATTACTCGTGCGACTCAATATATTAAAGCTGCCTCCTCGTCTTTCAAAGGAATGTCTACATTGCTAACTGTGGTCTAGACTCTGCTATCCCTGCCAGTTGTCGGGGCCGCGGACTTTATCGCCGGTCTTCGGGCAGAAACCGGTCAGTTAGAAATTTCCTGTAGTGCTTTGACTGGCCCGCAATCGAGATGCTGTCGATCTCTTGTTTAGTAAGTTTGAACGTGGGCAGTTTCTCGCATAAGGCCTTCAACCTGGTACTCTTGCGAGTGGTAGTGATAGCTGCTATCCCCTGATCCAGACACCATCTCAAAGCTATATCTGTCTCTGACACGTCGTATTTTCGAGCCAATTGGGTGTAGAGCTCGTTGACTGGGCCCGGGGCTTCTGCGGTCAGCGCCGTGAGGGTAGAATATGCTGAGACGGCGATATTCTGCGACTTTAGGAAATTAATCAGAGAACCGCGCTGAAGGTAGGGATGGTACTCGATCGAGTTGACAGCAGGGGGGATCTTGGCCGTCTCTAAGATGATCTCGATGTGCTCTTGCAGAAAGTTCGATACACCGATTGACTTGGCCTTCCCGGTTATCTTTATACTCTCCATTTGAGACCAGACGTGCTGCAGATCCTTTGCGTTGTCTGCCATGTAAGGCGCATGCACCAGGTAGAGGTCCACGTAATCAAGACCTAGCCTACTAAGAGAGCTTTCGAACTCAGCCTTGACGTCTCTTTTCTCAGTCCCGCATAGCTTGGTAACTATGAAAAGGTCTGATCGAGGGACCAGAGAAGCTCGCACGGCATCGCCGAGTTCTTTCTCATTATTGTATACTGTCGGGAGTCAACATGGAAATGGGACAAGACTAACTTCTACTCTGTTGACTCACGTTCGGCACCATCGAGATGGCGAATTCCATGCTCAATTGCGAGCTTTGTCGTTGTGACAATTACTTCGTTCTTCTCGTCTCGAGATCTTTTGTGTAACACAGTGCCTAAACCATATCCCAGCTGAGGAGAGCTCAGGCCCGGAACAATCGTGAAAGGGAGGTCAAGAACTCACCATTGGCATGTAGTTTCCATCATTAAGCTTCAGTGCGGCTTCACCGGCCTCTGGCATGTAATCCATAGCCGATGGTTTACTTGCTGACATCCTGTATGGCCCCGACGGCGATCTCCGACGGGTGGAATTGTTAAGAATATATCGTACGACCGTCACATAAGCATACGGCAAGAGCTAAGGTGTTTTCAGAAGCAATCAATCTGCAGCCGCACGGATGTTTAGCTTGATACAGTAGGTAGTTGAGATATGACAGGTAGCCAGCTTGTCTCTTATCTACCAGTTTACCGGTCTTTTATCTGTCGGGGCAATTCTGGGACGAATGATGCAATGTTCTACCGGACTATCTCTACCTAGCACTACAGGATAAGTTACTCCGGGCGTATCAGAGAATCCTGCCTGACTCGGTTTGACTTTAAAAACGGTATTGCGGCCCGTCTTCAGTGCCCTTGCCGGCCTGGGCCTAGTTTATCTGCAGTACGTAAGCAAGTTGGCGTTTTACCCGCGCGGGACCTAGCAACTGCCGGGGGCGGATACAATGAGAACACGAAGAGGAAACATGACAAGGTTTAGGCTTATGCATGAAACCATGTCTTTGGCCGCAAGAAGGTCTAGACAACACAAGTCGCTTCGGTAGCCTACCTTGTCAACCTCGGTTCATCTTGTAAGTCTAAACGTATTTATACCATCAGCTATTCGGAGGTTTAATGGAGCCTTTTGCGTGTATACATGGTCAAGATGGATACTAATTGCAGACAACAAGCTGGGCTAGCGTGCGAAGAATGCCGAAGACGAAAGTCGAAGTGTGATCGTGGTCGTCCAGTATGTGGAGGTTGTCTCGAATCCGGAGTTGACTGTGTTTTCGTGGAACAAAGGCCAAAACGGGGTCCCAAAAAGGGACAGCTAAGAGAGCTAAAGTCCCGAATCGGTCTGGGTCCCTTAATCTGTCTGTGATCAACTTTAGTTTCTAACAAGATAGGACACAGCCATGCTGGAGCAGCAGTTGGCCAGCCAGTCAGAAATCGAGGTTGCGGATGTAACCTACTCTCATTCTCATAGTCATAGCACCGGTACCGAGGCAGCATCAGCCACTTCGTTGGATGAAATGGAATGGACAATGCCGTTCGATCTGTCGCAGTCAGCCTGGACTGAACATCTAGAAATTACATCGGATCCCATTCTGGACCCTAATTTGGACCCCAATTGGCAGGACTATGCTTCGGTCTCGCAAGATGTCGACGCAGCACCTCAGCAACAGATCCAAACATCAGATGAGCTACCAGTTGCTAATGATTTACCTCCATTGATTCAGTTTGACTTGTAAGTTCAGGTCGTGGCTAAAGGGCTATTTTGTGAAGAGATTCTGAAGGCTGACATAAGAGTCCTGCTCCGTCGGTGAAGAGATCAGCTATACTTCGACAGGGTGCACCCACTGTTCCCCATGGTCCACAAGCGACGATATATGTCATGGACTAAGCAAAAGGATCCTTATCCAGCTCGTCAATGTTTGAGAATGGCTATGAGAGCACTTGCCGCATCTATGTCATCCCAGTTTCTCTCTCGTGGAGAGGACTTGTATCTCAAAGCAAGACAGATGGCTGAGGATCTCGAGGCCAGCGAACTGGGTTTGCCTTGGACAGATGCCGCCATCAGTATCGAGCAGACACAGGTGTGGTTTCTCCTTGCGCATTATGAGCTTTTGGCACCTCACATATATCCAGTACAGGCAACAGCTCGGCGGGCTTTTCGTTTGGTTTATCTCTCGCGACTACATTGCTGTGATCAGCAAGAGCAGTCTACAGGTAGTAGCTCAGACTCGTCACAAGCCTCAGCACCTACTCGAGTGGATTCCCCTACGCTCGAGGAGAAAAGAAGGACTTTCTGGGTTGCCTTCGGCTTAGACCGGTACCTGATCGCATACGGAGAATCTGTACCTACCATTCAAGACGAAATTGTGAGTTTGGACCCTCTTGTTGCCAACTCTCCATCTCAAAGACTCATTTCAGTAGATCTCAGTTCGTCTTCCGTGTCCAGAAAGGAACTTTCAGAACGGAGATGAAGTCAAGATGGGCTTTGTAGACGAGGCACTCAAGTACGCAAAGCTGGATGCGACATCCCGTTTCGCCGAATTTATCACAAGTATAGCTCTTTTCGGACGCTGCGTGATGCAGAAACACCTACCACAAAGCGGACCGTCGTTAGCAAAAGAAACCGCGTCTTTCTGGAAAAGACACGATTGGCTAGCATCAGCTGCAAAAAGGCAAGTTGACATATTATCCATCAATGCAACGGAGTTGGATGACGAACCAATGGCCATCGTGACTTTGATGGTAATGTACGGTTCCATTATAGCGCTGGCAAAGGCGGGTAAAGAAATGCCTCGTCAGACACAGGACCAGCAGCTAGCTTTAGAGGCACATGATGTGTCTGCCAATGAGGCTGCAGCTAGAATGGCCGACGTATCCAGTGTCATTACAACCTCTGCTTGCTTCAAGGTAATCGTCTAACTTCATCCTCTCTATAAGCCAAGCTGTTGTTAATTGATTCAGGCGCACCCGTACCTCCCTTTACTCCTCACCTTGGCCATCTCGTATCTCACTGCCAACCTGAAGTCTGGCAAAGATCCTTCATTGTACCGCCAAACAGAATCAGCCAGGACTCAGTTGAGTGGAGCCTTGGAGAGCTTTCTAGAGATTCACAGTCAGGCGAAACAATTTATTGAAAGGCTTATAGGAAAATAGACAGAAAATTAATAAGTAGTCAATCCTTGGTACTATAGACAAAGAGTTATAATCAGTGGATTGAATAGAATTTATATAGCGTATACTTTCTTAAAGACTTAAAATCTCACTCTAAGATATAATAACTGTTCCCCAACAAGCTAAGACTCTAGTAAGAGATATAGGAAGCTCTTTATATCTAGAATTTACTGACTGAAAATGCGTTAATATATATAATACTTTTATTAAAATACTAAGAGAAATTAATAATTAATTCACATTACTATAAAGGTTAACCTTAAGCTAAATTGAAAATATTTAAAGTAAATAGTATTCTCATTAGCTACAGACGCGCAGTCTAGGGTATGCCTTATTTAAACCATTACTGGGCGATTTATTAGCTCAAAATAACACTCTTATCAAAGTCAGTCCGAGCAGTATACCAGATATCCAACACAATAAGGTGTAGCTCTCGTTCTTTTGTCTAACTTTAAAGAGGTTATAATAGCATAAACTAGAACCTTTGAGCAGTCAACATGTACATTTTCATCTTCTCAGCTTGTCCCGATGTCCAAGGAACCAGGGTATGCGTGACAGTGTACCCTTTCGCCTCCAGAAATTTCTGCATAACTTCAAGTTGTCCATCAGGACTCCACAACTCCATGACGATATTCTTGACAGACAACAAGTGGTCTTCATCAAGCCCCTCGATGACGTCTAACTCCCCTCCTTCTATATCGATCTTCAGTAAATCGACTTTCGTAATATCGGCCCGATCTCGCAGGAATTCGGAAAGTCTTCTGACAGGAACGGGCACTTGTCGTGCACTCTCTCTCATTTTATCTGCAACTTCATTGCTGACTTTGTCGGCGATAAGATCCAACCAGTCTTCCCCTCCATCGCTGCAAATTGTTGAGTTGGTTGGGCTATTAGGGAAGAAGGTCAAGATCTTCGTTTCGTTCTTAGATCCAAGAGCGCATTCGTGAAGCTCTACACCTGATAGTCTGTGTAGTGATATGTTGTGGTTAAAGATAGAGCCGCTCTCTCTAGCGGGCTCAAAAGCCAGCACTTGTGACTCTGGGTAGTTTTTCTTGGCGAAAAGAGTATACAACCCGATGTTAGCGCCCGCATCGATGATGACGGGCTTTCCAGATAGTTTCACTGTATCATAACATCGCTGAGTGAAAATCTCGTCAAAGATCCAACGAGCTTCCTCTTCCCCTTGGTGGTAGAACGAAATACCTTCTGGGGTCTCAAGAAGTTGAAGTTGGGTCGTCATTGTGTTGAGATGTCAAGTGAATGAAAATAATCTTGAACTTTACTGTGGTAAATATAGGGCAAAGATCTAGATCTGTAGTAAGAATTTTTTAAGGGCTTATAATAAATATAAGAGTATATAGATATATATAATATATTACCTTAGATTTTAAAGGCTTAATTATCTTTACTTAGATCTTATTAGAAGTAAAGGAGAAGAATTCGCTTGCTATAAAATATAAAGTCTGATAAGTTTACCCTAGTAAAACTAGATATATATATTCTTTAAAATTAGTCCGATAGAGTAGCATTAGTCTAACATGATTATTATATATTATATTTTTATTATTTCAAAAATATATTGCTCCTATATACCTTAAATATGTTTTTCTATAAGGCCAAGGGTTAAAGAGCCTTAAGGAAGGCGTGAAGTGGCGAGTGACGAATTCACCCTTTTCCCATACGTGCGGCGTCCTTAATTTAGTCTAGCTTGGGATTCTGTTTAGTTAAATAAAGGTTAGATCCGTTCAGCTCTCGGATTTCCGTATCTAACACGACTACGCCCGGCTGATGAAGAATGGCAACTGACCTGTCACTACTCTGTAGACACCCCCCTTTTGTCCTTCCAAGAACTATTTACAATATCTGTTAAGCCCTCTCTGTCCTGATAATTTACTTACGTCTATGTTGATGACAGCGCAAATGAATATTCCCTGCTCTTATCGATCTTTTGGCTACAGGTCCCGGGTACCTTTTGTCTCCCATCGTTCAATGACATCTTCATGGAACCACGTCCTTCCAATTGACGGAGGCGGGTATCGATGCTGTGACTTGGCTACTCTAAGTCCTGTCAGGTCGCCATCTTGCCAATCTATTATTTCTTTCACTATTGAATCTGTTTTTTCATTGTATTAATTCCTACATAAACAGGAACCTATTTATTCTCAATACTAAGGCCTTATAACTGCAGGTCGGATACCCAACGCGTTGTTCTTCCTAAGTAAGTGCATGGGTAATTTATCTCCAAGCCTAGTCGTGGACGAAGCGGCACAGAGATCAATTAGGGATTATGACTTTTTGTCTTTAATAATGCGACTGCACTCATGTTGCCGTTTATATCTTGTAGTCAGTAGCGAGATGTGGCTTATGATTGGTAGGTTTCTGGTCACCATTCCCATAAATCAGCGGGGAAGGATTGCGATTGATACGAATGAGCTTCACTCTCAAGTCACATTTAAGTTTAAGCTAGCTCATCTAACTAATCTCCAAGCTCTCTCGGACAACCTCCGTCATCCTGACATGCATTTTTGGCTTCTCGTGGAGAAAGTAAACCTTTTGCACGATCCAGTCCTTGCTTTCTGGCAAAAGTTCTAGATCAAACCTCCAAAGCAATCGGGTCAGTAACAGTCGCATCTCAGCATAGGCAAAGCTTATTCGCAGTTAGCTGACCAAGTTAAATTTCGCACAGACCATCTTGACTAACCTTTTGCCAATGCAATCTCGAGGCCCGGCAGAGAATGGTTGAAGCACATCCATATTATCACTGGCATATTTCTCGAGGCCTAACCAGCGTTCTGGGATAAACTTTCGCGGGTCTTTGAAGTTGTAAGCCGATGAGTATGCAGGCTGATGTGGGACGGAAACAGAAGTCTAAGCCCAAAGATGTTAGTTTCCGTCTTGAGATACTGAAGAGTGACTCTAATCTGACTTACATTTTCAGGGATCCAATATCCTTCGATACTCTTGCCACCAGATGGTGTGATCCTTGCAAGACCGCTAGCAGATGGTGGGTCTGATTGACAAATCAATACGGAACTTTTACGGCATTCCGAAGCTCTAGAACTTCTCCCTATGTGACTTACACATGCGAAGACCTTCATTGAGAACAGCTAGTAGATAGTGAAGCTGATTTGTACGCGGTAAAGTGATCTCGTCCTCGGATCTGAATGTAGAGCGAATCTCATCGACTAGCTTCTTATACTTATTAGGATTTGTTAATAAATAGTATGTTGTGCCGCTCAGGAGCGTGGCTGTTGTTTCGCTGCCAGCAGCAATAAGCAGGCTTGCATTTTCAAGGATCTCCGCCTTTGACATTCCCTTCCCATCGTCATAACGAAGGATACAAGAAATGATATCCGGACTCTTGGTACCTCCGATACTCAAACGAGTTGATGCCGCAGTGGCAACAAATTGCAAGTCCTTCTTTAAGGTATCGTCCTGGTGTGCTGGGATCAGCCAATGCATCCATTGAACTAATCCTAAACGAGCGATGACTGTCATGAAAGAAAATGCCTTGATACTTGAAAGGAGGAGTGTAATCCATGGGTGATAATGGCCGGTGTCGAGGCATCCGAATGGTTGACCAAGGGAGAGATGACTCATTACATCAAAGGTGACATAATTGAACCACGCTACCATGTCAACATCAGTACCTGCCCTATGACAAAGTTCAGAAATGAATTTATCAGCATAATGATTCAAGATAGTCTCATGATCGCGGAGGGCCTTGGTCGAAAATGCATAGGCCAGATGGCGACGGATGCGCTTATGGTCTTCGTGGCCAGCAGTTACAATGTCCTTAACTGGGTGTCCCTGCCTATACATTCTCAAATCCTTGTCGAAGGGTGCGAATCCTCTTGCATTGGTGCCGTAAATAATCTTAACAGCATCGGCAGTAATGAAAGACACATCGTTAGGTGCGAATCTCACAGCAGGACCGTACTGATCATGTAGCTTGCTTAGCTTATCCAACCAGCTGCCTTGGGTAAGATGGTATAAGTAAGGAATTTGAGTAATAGCGTATAGTTTTGGGCCAGGGACTTTAGCAAGTGGGTGGGCATAGGCGTAGTAGATCGCTGCAATGAGAAGATAAAGGACCTAGGCAAGTGTGAGGGATAGTTTAATAATAAACTAAGACAGGGCTTACTAAGATTGCCAGTAAGAAGGCCAGTTTGTTATTAGAAGCAAGGATAAAGATAAATTTAATTGGAGATATATCCATTTTAATAGAAATCTAATAGCTTATGATAAAAGAGGAAAGGTATAGTTAGAGATTATTTAATATATTAGTCTTTAAAATATAAGGCTTAAGTTAAGTAGTTTTATATCTTAATATATATATAAATAATAATAGTAATTAAAGTTTTTACGGACTTTTATTCCTTGTTATATTATAATATAATAATTCTTAATTTCTTTAATCTTTTTATCCAGTATCGGAGTATTAATAAAGGTAAATATAGATATTAAACTTTAAAGCTCTGTCTTTTAGTAAGGCAATATTAAAGCAGGAGAAATAATCTCCGATATATTTATATTCCTTATACTATAGGCTTTAATAAACTGTAAGTGGGGTATTCTGTCTTTACGGCTCCTGCTTATGCTGTTCTTGTAATCGATGCCCGGACTAAGAATATTTCACCTTAGGAAACAATTTAGTAGCATTAAAGATAGTACTTTGGACACTTACTAATATTAACTATAATAAGCTTAAGTCTAAACTAGGCTAAATATAGCTCACCGGGGACCTTAAGCTACAGTTCTGTCAGGCTTGCCTTCTGTCCTTATATCTCAGATTTTGACCTGTACTACCTGGCCACCAGATACATTATCGTTATTCATTCCAGCTGTGACAACAAAAACACTCTTGCCATCTCTGCTTAGGGTCACACTGGTCGGTCCAGCAAGAAGTCCCTCAGAGAGGGCTGTAGCTTTACCATTAGGCGTGATCTTGATCAGCTTGTCTTGCCAAACACCAACATATGCATTGCCTTTCTTATCAATACTAAAGTCATCAGGTATGGAGGGAGATCCTGTCTCAATCCTGTATATAATCTCAACGGGTCCAGCTTTATTTCCAAGCTTATCAATCTTTATTCGGCCAAAGGTCTGGCGATCGGTATTGGTGAAATAGAGGTGGCTTTTATAGATCTTAATGCCGTTGACTCCAAGACCATACTGGCCATCGGCGCTGGGGGTGAATTCCCGATCTCGAATTGCCACTGCGATTCTGCCAGTCGTTGTATCTATGCGTAAAATCTCCCCTCGTACAGAGTCAGCACCGAGGATGATATGTTTGTGATGGGGAAGTGCCACGATGCCATTAACAGGGCCATAAGTAGACTCCTCAAAAACAGTACCAACAGACAACTGGCCATGCTTGAACTTGAGCAGCGAAAGTTTCATGCTGTTGTTCTGGAATTGTTCTCCGGTGTTATTGCCTGCGGCCAGAGCAAAGACATCGTTACCGATCTCGGTAATGCCAAACAAACTGTTGACGCCCTCAATTTGAGCAATCACTTCCGGTTTAGCAGGGCTCTTGTATGGATTAACTGAGTAGAGTTTGGCTTCCCCCATTGTGCTAAGTAATAGGTCACCATTGGATCGAGAGGCAACGTTCTCGATCCGGACGCCGGGAATCTGGACAATTTCCCGGACTTTTGCTTGGGAAGGAAGACATGAAGAAAGGGTGCCTGAAAGGAGGAGAGCAGGGAGGATGCTTGCAAGTGTGTAGTGCATGGTGCTGGATAGAACTTGAAGAAGATCGAGTTGCGATAATATCCAAAAACTGCGTTTAGATATAAACAAGCGACCCTCATTATAACATAAACGGCATAAAGCTGATAGATGGTTTATCGGGTGCCTTGATTTGTCAGCGGCTTATTAAAGCTGTGATCCTTCTGTTTGTCCCAGACGCTGACATGCATATTCCAAACTCCACGGAGCCCGAAAGGGATTCCCATCCCTGACAGAGCACCTTTATCAAAGCTCACATATACCAGTCTCCTCTCATCCTCGAGACTGGCTGGTTGGTAGTTGGATTTGACTGTGCCATTAATGCGTTGCTGTCAGGATTGGTGGAAAAACCCGTGCCTTTGCACATTGGATCCAAAGACTCATAAAAGGTATAAAGACTATTTCTACTACGGGTGAGAATTCTCTACACATAAAAGCACAACAGTATTAGCCCCTGTTGGGTTGCATATTATACAATAGGTATAGTGTGAAATCTGCCTTGCGCAGCCAGTTACGCTGGCTGATCTATCGCAGAGCTGTACGAAGAGACATAGTACCTTTTCATTGAGCAAGTGCGCTGGCATTTTCCCAGTCAATCGAGAAAGGGCAAGTTACCATCATGGGCTTCGGACTATAGCCAGGCGTGTTGTCCACCAGGCCACTGCGTGGACCATGTTATAGAATCTATTTCAAAAGGCCAGATCATTGAACGCATCCTAGGACAGCTGAAACTTCGCGCACCATGTCTGGATGTCTGATATAGACCAGACAAATGTGAAACATCTCAAAGCCACGCCCGGCATGATATAGTACTGCGATGCTATGAGACAACGTATAGCTGGATGGAATCAATTGTCGGTTTTAAAGCCCCACTGGCCTACGATATGCATGCCAAGGATACTGCATTCCTTCCGACGGACACCATTCGTATTCTAGACACAACATACCCCACCAGGGCCATGACGTGGCTCGAGGCTGTTTGGCTAACTGCTTTGGCCAGACCTGCCGCCCTAGAAGAAAAGCCGACCGCTAAATCATCTCTGCAAAACGAAATACCGGCTTTGCCTAGCGGCTTTGATGAGCGAAAAGTGCTTGAGATACGGTTGTCTGGTTCGGAACCGACAATCACGGGCCACATACTTGAGACCATCAAGTGCCTAAGCACACCGATGTCGAGCAAACTAGCATGGGGAACATTCTCTGAAATAGCTACCCTCCCATGGGAGGGAGGCAACCTCCTAACAAAGCAAGGGGAGCAGGCAGTGGAAAGCATGCTCCATACCCTCAGTTGTGGCTCCCTGAGTGCCAAGCCACCCACCGAAGAGCGTGTGTGAGGCGCATGATGTGAGCCATCAACGGTGGGGACTTTCAACTCAAAATAACACTCTTATCAAAGTCAATCCGGACAGTATACCAGCTACCCAACACAATTGCCACGCCGAGGCTGCATTACAGAGCAAGAGAACTTGGGTCTTGTCTTAGGGTATAAATGTGGGAATGATCGACCGCAGTAACATCGTAGAGCTGATATGTCCTTTGCCTTTCCAGCAATAGGGACACACAAACACAACATGTTACCGTCTAGATCAGAGATCCTCATGAATTCATTCTACTTTGGGCCCAACGATTCAGTTATCGAGAGAGCTCAGGATAAGCCCGAGCCAGAGGATTATCTCGGCTACACATCCATGATGAACCCGGTGCCTTTAATCACAAAGGCCGTCATTGTCTGTATTCACTACTTCAACACTCGTGGTGAACTTCGATCTCACAACGCCAGCGGCATAGCTGCCTTTTTACAACAAGTTTACGGCTGCCCTGCTGAGAACATCATCATACTATCCGACATATACTCTCGACCGACGAGTCAACCTACCAAGCGTGCTATTCTGCAAGCGATAAATTGGCTCTTTTCGGGATCCTTACCTGGAGACCGCCTGTTCTTTTACTCCAGCGGTAGGACGTCCCCGCCGAATCAGGGATATGACGGGACGCTGACAAGCCAGGGCACGGCCAACCAGATAAACCGATATTTCCGGTCGATTTCAGAGAAGCAGGGTTCATAACGGAAGCAGATATTGAGGCTATTATGGCTCAGAAACTGCAGCAGGGGGTGATAACGACTGTGATGACAGACTACTTTGCTAGTGCGGAGTCAGCCGCAAGCTGGTTCGACTACAGGCATCTCGGATGTTACGGCGAATAACGGGCAGGCCGATGATCTACACTGCGTTATGGCGAGTGTGCTCCATAGTATATTGAGAAGAGATGGTATTCACATGCTTGCCCCATTCCCGAGTCCCCGGCCTCCATGCTACGGATAGAAAACATCGATATTCGAAGACTGATCATATTCCTCGGCTCATTCATAGCGCACATCATCAGCTTGGGCCAGGGTCGCTTAGCGATTTGAGCTGATATGACTCGATTGTCGAGAATCTGTGTCGGCAAGGCATGTAGCAGGGGGCGGTAGGAGGCAAAGCTGTAAGGCACGCGAACAAAAGATCCAATCGTCTCTGGTGTGAAGATCTGCAAACTGGGGCTTCTAAATATCGGCACAAGCGAGATCTGCCAAGTACAATCATCGTACGATGTCTTGACCGGATATGGCGGTAGTGGTGGAGATGATGCGGGGAAATCTCCCGACAAGTCAGTCAAGATCGAGTCAATCGCACTAGGGATGACATCGGCCAGCTGGACAAGGGTCTCAATAGCGTTTTAACGACCCGTTTTCAGTGACTAGTCTGCAAATGATTGAATGATCGAAACTCTTATCTTGATAGCGTTGAAACTAAGGCTGAGGAGGTTGCGTTATTACCATTGAGTATTATGACATGCCCTGGTATTTAATATTTATAAAGGTTAACTTTTACACAATTTTTCAAAGTACTTTCCTTCATACCTTACTATTACTACCGCAAGAGTTACAGTTAGGTACTGTATTAAATACTACTAACTCACTTAGGGCCATGGCCTTGGTCTCGAAAGGCTAGCTGAATCAAGTTACTTAAAGTGAACCTAGCCGCGTATAATTCCTCCCCGAGTTCTTCACTCGCGAGCGCGGGCAAAGCAGGGAGTCAGATCCAGCTTCCTCCTCCGTTATCCCTACTATTACAGCTTTTTATTATTATTATATTATCAAGTCTTTAATAGCTGTATAAAGTATACTTTAAATTTAATACTTTATATACTTATTTATTTTTATAATCTTTTAATAAATATTGAATTATAATAATGTAAATAGTTAAGTTAATTACTAATAATATACTAATAGCTAAAGAAAACCTAATAAGTAAATAACTATATAATTGAAATACTTTTTTATTATATAAGTAAGCTATATAGCTAGATTAAGCAACTTTATAAGTCGCCCGGATTCTTGATTGTAAATGTTCCCAGCTTTTCACCGGCTCAGAACTCTGATACCCCTTCCTTGTCAAAACCTCGTTAAATCTCCTTATTACATCTTCATTCACAATCCCTGATGACGGGTCGTTGCTGGACGTCTTTAAAGGTGAGAGGAGGACCTCGCGATCCGGCTGAATGAAGACGGGAAGGCTCAGGCGCGCCACGTTTTCGCTGGCTGTTCGAGGGAACGCCACACGATGGACAGTGGATCGCAATCTTCCGGCCGTCCAGAACTCCAAAGCGTCGCCAATGTTGACAACGATGGCGTCGTCGAAGCAGGGCACATCTTTCCAGCACCCATTCTGGTGGACCTGCAGGCCTCCCTGGTCCGAGGGTTCGCGGTAGAGAAGAGTCAGGGATCCGTAGTCGGTGTGCTCGCCGGCCCTGATCTCATCCGCCGCACCATAATTTGCTGATGTCGGCGTGGCCGGGTAGTTGATGAGCCTCATGCGACAAGACTCTCCTGTATGGGCTTCAGTCAAGACGCCCTCTGGGATCTGGGGAGTTCCGAGACTGTCAGAAACAAAACAACTACTTGGGGTGAGTAGAATGGTAAAAGTCTTACCTTGAGCCCAATCTCCATTGCCCGCAGGAGACGATTGGCGAGCGCCTGCGTGTCGGTGAAGAATTGAGCCAGCCGATCCCTCCCGTTCTCCAGGGCTGGGTGTAGTTCCTGCAAGGCTCTTTGCGATGGGTCGCATAAGTAAAAAGACTCCTTGACATCTCCGGGACCCATGCCCGCCAGACTGTGAAGGTTGTTGTTAGCTAACGTGGAGCACGCGATGAGGTCGGGAAGGACGCATCGCAAGAAAGGGGAATGATGGCAGCAGAAAATGGCAGGGATATTGTATACGCACGATTCTTCCCTCATGCCCGTGTAGCCCTAGAATCAGTTCATTAGCTAACCAGAGGAAAGAGAACGTTATCTTGCCTCCAAGTTGATCTCGTACCAAGTCACCACTGCCGTTGCGGTATCTCATCTTTTCAGCTCTTGGAACTTTGAAGAACTCCCTTGCCAACTCGAAGGCAGGCGCTGGATCAATGCCGTGACCCGTGACGTAGAAGAAGCCGGGGTCATTGCCATTGCGCATAAGCTCAGAGGCAAGCTGGTCCTCTGAGATTTTGTTGAGGTCGATGATTGGAAGAGCAGCCATGATGGGTCTAGGTCTGCGGGAGAGACGTGGGCTACGGATAGTGGCTGGCTTTTTAACAGATGCTACTCGAACATGGGCCTTGAACACTTTCGAGTCTTTTGTAGTGACGATACTCAACATTCCTGCTTGCTTATACCTCGGCAGCGAGGTGGCTAAATTGCTAAATTGCTATCGACCAAACTCTATACGAGATAGGCTGATAGCCGGCGGACTTGTCTTAGCGTGGTCTAGATCATTATCAGTTCTGGCATCAACTTTCCCCGCATCCTGATAGGAACCGAGAGTCTGGTTATCTGGCTGCTTATTGGCTGGCGGCAGAATTTCCACTTATCTGGCGGTTGGATGGCTACTCTAGACTCATTCCTGATCGGCGTCTGTATCTGTACGTACTGACGATAAGACAACACCTTGGGGCAGTCGTCTTTGAGCCTTGTGGGTGGACGATGGCCATAAAGATCCGGTTTGGAACGTGTTTTCCAACATGCCTGTGTTGACATAGATGTGTGCATCTCTCTCTCTCCTTGCCAACCTACCATTATTGTCGCTTAAATAAATCTACAAGCACATTTGCAGCTTACTCACAGCTATGGCGCTGCGAACTCTATTCAAGCGCCTCGAGATTCCTCGAGAGACAGATGTACGGACCGGGGCGTACATGAACCGTGACACACGGCCCCTGCCCCTGGAGAGACGTACCTACGGTCCCTAGGAGTTCGTGGGACTCTGGGTCGTCACCGGAGCCTTCAACGTCGGTGGCTGGATGACCGGCTCCTCAGTCATCGCTCTCGGGCTCAACGTCTGGCAGGCCATGCTCACCGTCATCATCGGCAACATCCTCGTCGGCATCATCTGCGTCCTCACGGGCGCGCCAGGGGCCAAGTGGCACGTCGGCTTCTCTATACTGCAGAACGCGTCGTGGGGCATGTACGGCGCGCTGTTCCCGCTCGTGCAGCGCATCATGCTCTCCTTTATCTGGTACTCGACGCAGGTCTGGTGGGGGGGCCAGTGCACCAAGACGTTCCTCACCGCGCTGTGGCCTTCGTTCCGGAACCTCAACACGCCTCTGGCCCACGGGACGATGGATACAGGAGACTTGACCGCCTTCATCGTCTTCTGGTCTCTGTGTCTGCCGCTCATTTGGGTACCGCCAGAGAAGTACAAGATTCCCTTCGCCATCGCCGCCTGCAGCGTCGCTCCGACCGTCCTAGCTCTCATGATATGGTGCACCGCGCAAGCTCACTGAGCCGGGCCCCTGGTCTCCGACATCTCCATCGCCGGCGTTGAGCAGGCTAAGGGGAGCCACCTCGGGTGGATGCTGGTCCTCGGCATCTGTACCAACATCGGTGGCATCAGCACCCACATCTTCAGCCAGTCTGACTTCACCCGCTTCTCGCGCCGCCCTGGGGATCAGCTCCTGTCTCAGCTGCTCTTTGTGCCCCTCAGCACCGTCTCTGTGGCTCTCATCGGCATCTTGTGCACATCGTGCGCCTCCCAGCTCTTCCCAGAGACCAACGGCACGTTGCTGTGGGAGCCGTACCGCATGCTGGCTACTGTGCAGACCCATTTCGACGATTCCCCCCGCGCGCGGGTTGCCGTGGCCTTTGCCAGCCTGGCTTTTGCCGTGGCTCAGTTTGGCATCGCTGTCGCCGAGAACGCACTGTCCAACGGCATTGACCTCTCGGCTCTGGTGCCGCGTTACTTTAACCTTCGCCGCGGGGGCTACCTCACTGCCGTCTTTGCTTTCGTCATGCAGCCTTGGGAGCTCATGAATGGTGCGAGCAACTTCCTTACCGTCATGGGCGGGTACGGCGTCTTCCTCGGTTCAATGACGGGAGTCATGTTCTCGGACTACTATCTGGTGCGCCAACGTCGACTTATGCTGACGGGTCTGTACGATGCGTCCAGCACCAGCATCTATTGGTACTGGCTCGGGGTCAACTGGCGTGCCCCTGTGGCCTGGCTTGCCGCGACCTGGCTCCTTCTCCCTGGCTTTGTTCGCCGCGTGCAGGATCCCACGGCAGAATGGAACGGTTGGTCGCACCTATACTACATGTCCTGGCCCCTTGGCTGCTTTCTCGCAATGCTGTTCTACTATCTGCTCGCTCGTGCGTTCCCTGTGCCGCAGCCCCAGGCTGTTGACGATGCAGATTACTTTGGTACCTTTGGATTGGCCAATGACTTTGGTTCCGTGCTGGAAGGCGAGGCTGTTTCGGGCAACGGTAGTCTAGCTAAGAAGGACCAGGCTGTCCTTTCTTCGGAGGAGATGAACCAGGCAGTTTAGATTTGAGTAGCACAATGTACTTGAGTATGCAAACAGTACTGTTTGATTCCATTTCAGGCTCATAAAAGACAACCGACATATACGTGAGTGCCGTTTTACTTGAGGATACAAAGACCGGGACGACCAGCTGAAAGTGCAAATCCATGCTTCGTGCTCCCGAGGTCTCTCATCGCAGCAAGTGATAAACCCACTAGAACTATTCCTAGGAAAGCAAGCGTAGCGTTGTCAAGGCCTAAGTTAATGCTAAGCTGTAAACAGTACAGCACTCTCTGCTTGGTCAAATTGAACCCACTACGCGATTTCTGGAGCTCGATAAGGTCAAACCGACCGCCACCTTCAATTAAAGAAAACAAGGCTCTTTCAATCAAAGCTGGAATGCTCGTTGTGACTAATCTATGCTTTGTACAACAGTTAAGCTACACCCGAGGCAAGCGTGTACTAGCGGCGGCAAAATTGGTAAATAGATGTCATTGGCTTTAATCTGATAAGCTACTTGGTATAAGATAGTGGCGTAAATCTAAATCACTATCAAATCACTAGACGTTGTGAATTGTACGGCATCACTTGACCGCGGTCTAACGCCATGCCTCCGAAGAAGCTGCTCTGCATCATCCCCATCTCGACAACGGGAATAACCCAGAGCCTCGCAGCCATCTACACATCGACAACACAGGTCCAGCTCGACTTTATAGATGGCCGTGGACTGGCAACTTGCCCGCCGTGTATCGAGAACCACGATCAAGCCGTCGTGTCGTCTGTGGCTATGCTGCCTAGAGTGACCGACTTCCTCGCCACCCGCCAATTCGACGGCATCCTTACGTGCTGCTTCTCAGACCACCCGCTGGTGTACGCTCTTCGACGACAGACGAGCACGCCGGTCATGGGCATTTTCCAAGCCGCGCTTAAGATGGCAGTGCCAACCACGGAGACGGGGAATGAGCGATTCGGGATCGTAACGACAACGGCGGCCTGGGAGCCAGTTTTGCAGGAGTCTGTTGAGGAGCTGGGCTATGGGGCTCATTGCGTGGGTGTGTGTGCAACGAGGCTTGGTGTGTTGGATCTGGAGAGTCTTCCAGAAAGTCATGTCATAGAGGTCTTCCGGCGATCAGCCCAGGAACTTGCGGATGCCGGGGCCACGAGAATCATCCTGGGATGTGCAGGGATGGCCAGTCTTCGGAGAGGCATTCAAGCCGTCCTGTCATCTCGAGTCCGCATAATCGACGGTGTGGAAGCTGGCATAGCACTTCTAGCCAGAGAGTGAAGGGACAATTAGGCTGTGTTGTCAAGGAATTGCCGTGTGGGCTCTGATCTCATGGAATCAAGCCTAGACTTTTCAGCTCATCCATGTCGATGCTGTCTAGCCAGGGGAACGTCTGCAACCAGTCGAGAGACGGTACGACATAGGGACGGCCATCTTGAGCTGGCGAGTTATCCAGATAGCTGGAACGCATTTTCTCAGTGTGCGCATCGATGCGATCAATGTGTTGTGAAAGCAGTAGACTTGCTGTAATCGCTGTTGAATTGTCCATTTCCCGCAGGAAGGTAGACATTGACGCACTGTGACACAGTTAACATGAAAGGTACTCAACATAGTTATAAAAGGACACGAACAGTAGGCTGCGTAGCTCTTGGTACTCCGTCCACAGCAGAGGCCGGCCGATGAATCCGCTGAGCAGATGCCCAACTCCAGACAGTTCTTGGAACTATAATTGCAGGTAAAGTAATTCAGTTACTGTAGCACTGACTGGTGTGGCAAGAATTCATAGTACTGACCATACAAGAGCCAATGGCTCGAAGATATGCACTTGGAACCTTGGAGATGCTGTTGATCATCTGCTGAGCGGCCGTGCAGGCGGACGTAAAGGTCGTGGGGTCGCAGGCAAAGCACAATGTTTTCAGCAGCTAAATAGGTCGTCAGCAGAAAGTTCAGAGACCGGACCTTTCCTTCTAGGACATGGGTAAACGCGCCTGGCTTGTGCAAACGATATTGGCCACTTGAAACCCGCAAAGATTTGCCTCGGCATCGGCAGAAAGCGGCGAGGCGGTCATCATGTGGCTTGGGAGGGACTCCAACCCATCTTGGAGAGCAGACAGTATTGTCTCCATCTCGAGAGCCAGAGGTTCTCGCGGTGAGAGACGGGAGCTGTAAGCATCTGCCACCGTCCGCCCGGCCCGTTTGACTCGGTAGTGGTTGATGACGTGCTCGAGCGATCGGTACAGGTCTGTAACGAAGTTCCAGCCAACGAGCCAGTTTCCTTCTGTGTGCTGCAAGTCATCACCGGGGTATGCAACCATGGTCTGCTGCTCAGGACATCGAATCACATGGCCCATGACCAATGCCGAGTGCACTTCCAGACGATACATGGACCAGAAGATGCGCCGATATCTCTGCCTCTCTGGTTCCGTGAGCGCTGACGGCCAGTTGACTTCCTCGTGCAGGTTTTGTGCTGCTATGAGACTGTGGAAGAGACCTAGGTAGCGGTGGTGGAGGGAGGAGTGCCTGGTTTGGAAGGCGACCAGGACAAGGGACGCGATGGTGGGGAGGTATCTGAAGGCGTCTTGACCACGAGCATCGGCTGGGATGCTACGCTCGGCGTTGTCTATAAACACAGGAAGAAGTCCTGTGGGTGGAGCAGCCGTGGTAAATAACTCTTGTCGAGACGGCAGGACTGCACCATCCTTTATATGAGACAGACTGAGAGCACATAGACCCATCAGGTAAGAGAAAGAGCACCGGTCTGAAGAAAGATCTGATGTGTGCCACTCGTGGAGGAGTGGCTGCTGATCAAATATCGGAAACCTGGAGAAACGAATCGGTAATCAGTACAGCACAAACACAGTCAGATGACAGATAAGCATACACGGGATACACGGTCTGGAAGAATGTGTCTATGAGTGCGCCGATAGTGTCCCTTGGGCCGTGGATCCGCTCATCGTATATCCATGGGCGAATACCGCAAGATTCATTCGTGTTCTGGGTCAATCTGCTCGCCCGAGGCTTGACACCTCGCTTCGTCGTCACCCGGGTCCATGTGCACGCCACGTCGTGCTCGACGCACGTCAGGCATGAGAGCGATAGGGATCCCTCTGCCGATGGTAGCTTGCATTTGCGGGCTCTCTTGTGGCAGAAGTCACAGGCTCTGGAAACCCTTTTGAGCTTTTTCTCCATGGTGTGAGTTAGTTCGCTGCCGGTTGAAGGGGCAAGTTGAGGCTGCAATAGATAGCACGGGTTCTCTAGGGTACGCTTGGGGTCTAGCCACAGTGGAGCCAACGACCCCTCCCTCCTTGCATCGCCCCACGGAAACGCCGTGGCTGGCTGCTAAGGACTCTGCGCGCAAGTAGACGACTGTAGGTTGATCTGTCAGTATCTGCTTAAAGACGCTGCCCCTATAATATAATATAGCGTAACAGGGATAGATTATCTCTTAGCTCTAGCTTTAATCTCTAAGCTTTAGGATACAGTTAACTAGCAATACTGTAAATATATATTATAGCTATAGTTAATAAGGCTTAAAGACTAAACTATATATATATAAC